AGACCCACTCCCTCTCTGCTTCCACTGCAGAAAGGAGGAGATCTCCAAGAGATGACTTCCAGACAGCACAAAAGAAGATCCAATAAGACAAGGCAAAACCCCTCATTTTGAGACTGGAAAAGTCAACTCGATATGAAGAAAAGTGTCCCAAGCACAGCATAAAGAGTCAGAGATCTGCCCCATGTCCACTTTTAGGATTCTCACAAGGGTAGCAACCAAAGAGCCACAACATACACAAAGGACCTGGTGCAGATCCATGCAGGCCCCATGTGTGCCCCTTCAGTCTCTGTGAGCCCATGTGACTCCTGCTTAGCTGATTTGGTGGCACATGTTCTCCTGGTGTCTTACATTTCCTATCACTCCTACACAATATTTTCCTGTTCCTATTTTTACTCATCCATTATCCAATGGAGATTTCCAATTTAGACGCTCTATCCACACAATATCTGACTGTGAGGCTCTGTTGCCATCAGTTGCTGGAGGAAGCCTCTTTGATAACTATAAGATGAGGTACAAATCTATTACTAGAGCAGAATATCATTAGGAATCATTTCATGACTTTTTTTGCCACTTGTGTTTGGTTCTACCATAAGTCTCTGAGCAATTTAGTCACTGGTTCCTGGTCATACAGTAGTGTAGGACATGACCTTCTTCTCTTAGTGTGGACAAGTTAAAGCAAAAGTTGATTGGCCACTTGCCCTTGTTCTGTGCCACCATATCTTTCAGGCAGAGAAGATCGTGGGTGGAGAATTGTGTGCCTGGGTTGGTGTCGAGGTATGTAGTTCCATAGCCTGCAGAGTACCCTTCTTGAGATGAGAAGACTAGAATGTAGAGGTGAATGTTACAAGCTTGCCCTGCTTGGTTTCTCTATGTTCAATGAGCTCAGTGAAAGTTGTCCTCAGCAACTGCTGTCAGTTTTCAGAGGATAACTTTTTTCCTAGCATCAGACTGGGTTGTTTACGCATCTCCATAGGACCTCTTTGGCCAACAAGAAAAGATAGTCCCACCACTAGTTGCCTTTTCTGACTACAAACGATGACCAGTTCAGACTCCCTACCCTCTATTGTGAGGAGTCCTCACTAGAGTCACCCTCATAGATTGCAGGAGTTTCTGCTGCACTAGGTTTCCATACCACCCCCTCAATCTCTCCTAATTCCAACAGTCCTAGTGACTTCTCATCACACCTATAGATCAATGAATCTCTAAACCCTTAGGAAAGAAACTTTTGTTTGCAGTCCATTTCAGTTAATATAGAGATCCACAACCGGTCAAGGTGCAGAGAACAAAGAGATTGGAAAATACTCAGCCTTAAAGCAGTCATCTGGATCATGCCCCCTCTTCCTGATGCTCAGGGATCTTTGTGAAAGAGGAGGAGGAATGATTTTAAGAGCCATAAAGAATAAATGACTCCAAGGAAACAATATTTTCTTGCATTGTTTACTGCAGCGCTACATTGCAATGCCAAAGCAGTTGCAAATATGAATTCTCAGCCATACAGAGAGTTAAGCTTAAGCCAGACAAAATTCCAACATGGAGAGGGGAGTTGAGCAAGAAGTCCCACCCATATCTGAGTTCCACCCATACTGATAGTTCTTGGAGAGGCAAAATCAGTTTTCTTTAAATTGTAGCCTCTGGCATGTTGATCATACTCCAGTGAAGGCCACATACCCAAGAGTATATGGAAGCAGAAGTTGGACTTAATGGCCTTTATTTTAAAATAGAAAAGGACACAAATGGGTAGGGTTTGAAGAATGTGATGGATATGAAAGAATTATGGGAAGAGGCTGACTATTATTAAATATATTATTAAATATTTATTATTAATAATATTAAATACATTTAAATAATATTAAATACTAAATAATTATTAAATATTAAATGTATCTATAGTATATATAGTAGACATATTTTATAAATGCATGTGGAAATGCACACAAAAATCTACACACAGAAAAATATATATACACGTACTTTAATATGAAAACTTTCATTATACTTGGTATTGAAGTGATATAGGCCACAATATTTATCCATGCAGAGTTTAAACTAACACAAAAGAAAACCTGCTAAGATCATAGCAGCATGCAAATATCTAACAATGGGAATTAGATATCTCTTTTATATAATATCTAAAATATTAAATGCAGTATAATTATTAAAATGAATAAATAATGGGGATTATTGTTTACAAAAATCATTTTTATCTACATATGATCTCTTATTTGTTTAAGCCTTGTGGGTTTTTGTCTATGAAAATTGCTTATGACATATAAAAGGATGTTCATCTTAGTTTCTTTTCTATTACTCTGAGGAGACATCATAACAAAAGCATTGCTTTTAAATAATAACTTAGAGCCTTGCTTCTATTTTCCAAAGGGTGAGTCTAGGACCATCATGGTGGGAAGCATGGCAGCAGGTTGGCAGCAGGCAGGCAGGCACAGAAATAGAGCAGCTGCAGAAAGCTTACATATTATTTATAAGAGAGAGGTAGAGAGAATGAGACTGGGCCTTGTGTATGCTTTTGAAACCTCAAAAGCAACTCCCAGTGACAAGCCTCCTCCAGCTAGGCCATACTTCCTAATCTTTCCCCAAACAGTTTCCACACACTAAGGACCAAGTATTCAAATGTATGAGCCTATGGGGTTAATAATGCATGTGCCTATGGAGTTAATTCTCATACAAACTATCACAATGATCATAGATGTCAAGAAAAAGCACGACTTTGTTGATCATATTAGGATAAAGTGAGAAGAAAGAGGGATAAGCAAAAAATAGAACCATTAACTCACAATAATTAGGAAAGAAACAATATGTCATTCAGGCAATTGTGCAAATAAAATGTTTGAATATATAAATAAATAATAGCTTAAAATTTAAGATGTTCAATTTTATTTGATATTAGAAACAAAAATATGCTTATCAATGGAATCTTATATAAGGTTGCAATATGATATGTATTGCATCACATGAAATATATATATATATATATATATATATCATGTGATGTTCAAATCAAATTAAATACAGCTCTTCAAATACCACATATTTCTGGTGAAAAATTCCAAAACCTTTTGTTCTACCATTCTGAAATGTTCACAACATTATTGTTGCCTAAAGTCACCCTACCATGCAAATTGTATAACAGAAATTTTTGCTTCTATTATACTGTAACTTACTGACCCTTAATTAGCCTTTTCCCAACACTACCTTTCTAATTCCTGTGCTCCAACTATACTGTGACCCACATTCTAGTCTCGACATCAATAAAATCAACTTTTGGAGATTTTGCAAAGGATCTCTATCACACAGTGCTTGACATTCTGTGCTTGCTTTATTTGAGATTACATAGCTATATGCAGTTCCAACCGTTTTATTAGAAATGAAATAATTTAAACTTTTCAATGACTGAATAAAAATGCATTGGGTATATGTACCACATTTTTTCCTTGGTATATTGGGTTTTAGACACAAAGGCTGATTTCATTGGAACAATCCTGTCTCTCTGTCTCCCAAGAATATAAGATTATATACATATACCACAAGGCCCAAATTTATGCGCTTAATTTTCTTTAGCTCATGTTTAACTTAATTTTAATTAATAAGCTTGGAACATAAAAGATAAGTGACATAGTATGTCTTGATGGTGTGTTTTGTGTTGTTTTAAGACATTTCCCATAACTGGTCACTTACCAAAATGTTTATTAACAACTATTACTACTACAGGTCGAAAGGCATGATGTTAGCATGGAAGATAGAATCACATGTTAGAAATCTCTGTGTGAGTGTGTGTGTATTTGTGTGTGAGGGAGAGAGAGAGAGAGAGAGAGAGAGAGAGAGAGAGAGAGAGAGAGAGAGAGAGAGAAGAGAGCTTGGTTATACACCAAGGAATAAACACAAAAATACAAACTGAGAAAACCAAAATTATATTATAGTAACTTTTATAGAAACTAATCTAGTTCCTTGCTATACATATCTTTATACATGAAAACCTATTTCTTCTAAAGTTGATTCCCTCAATGACTTGAAATTCTTTCACCAAGTCCCACTTTTATGTTTCTCCATCTCTCAGTTCTTTACACCGGGATCTAAGCTGTCACCACATGCAACCTTTGAGGACAAACCTTATTCTAAGCAGAGGATCAAAATTTACTATGAAAAGCAAAACACATATTTTGTTTCCCAAATCAGTCCTCTGAAGGGACAAGATAGTCACCTATTAGCTACAATTGCTTTTAAAAGAGTTGTAATATTTTTTTAAAGCAAGAGATTTCAGACAAATATATTCATCCAAAGTCATCATATCAGAATTCCTTCCTTCCTTCCTTCCTTCCTTCCTTCCTTCCTTCCTTCCTTTCTTTCTTTCTTTCTTTCTTTCTTTCTTCCTTCCTTCCTTCCTTCCTTCCTTCCTTCTTTCCTTTTCTTTTCTTTCCTTTCCTTTCCTTTCCTTCTTTTTTTTTTTTAAGGACAGAGTTTCTCTTTGTAGCCTCCACTATCCTGAAACTTGTTCTGTAAACCAGGTTGGCATCGATCTTATAGATATTTTCCTGCCTCTGCTTCTGAGTGCTAGGATTAAAGTAGTGCACCATGACTTCCAGGCCAGATTTTCTTTTATGCTACATAGAAATACTGCTGATGCTTCTTATTTTATTTTTATGTGTTTTGTTTCTAAGTTTCAACTTGATTTGATACTAGTCAGCATGTCATAATTTCATGCATCCTTTTGTGAATTATTACTATTATCCATTTTATTTGGAGAACTCTGGTCTCTTTAATGTGCAGTGGTACATTCATATGTTAATACTTTCATCATCTAGTTCCTAGGTACTTATTTAATATGGAAAGTGAACTTAAAATGCATTTCATTTCATTTTTGCATTACATTTTTAAATCTGTACTGTTGCTTAGGCTCTAAGAATAGCTAAATGCAATACTTTCACATTTTGTTTTATTTATAATTAATCATTTGCTATCCATTCAAACAGTTTCTTCTTTTTTATCAGGTTGATTTGGTGAATATAGGAAGCAGTGACATAGTGGATGGAAATCATAAGCTGACTCTTGGTTTGATTTGGAATATCATCCTCCACTGGCAGGTAAATATACTACCAGACATTGCCTTTTTATAAAAGAGGTTGCTAACCCCTTCTTTCATTTCTTTGACCTACAAAATAAACACATATCACTGATATTACCTAGCCATCTTCCCAGGACTGCCTTTTAAATTTACACATGTATGTCATTTTGGATAGGATAATCAAAAAATATGTTCTGGAATAGTTGTAGGAATATTGTTGAAATTTTGTCATGGGGTAAAGTTGGCAAAATAAGACAAAATCCCAACCATATCTAAAAATTTTAGCAAATATGTGCACTTAACAAACTATAGAATTTTATAAAGAAAAATTTATCTGTTCTTTAAATGACCACTGTAAAAAAATAAACTTATCAATCTTGTATTTTCAAAATATATACCTATAATGGTGAAAGATTAATAGAATAGGAATATTTTTAGGAGTATGCCTATTATACAGTCAGCTTTTGGAATCGCATTTTTCTCAATAACTTGAGGATAGGGCTTTTTGTTCTTGTCTAATTTATTCTAACACTTTAAACCAGATCATAGGTCATTTGGTTAAGTGAAAAGCATATGAACATTTAAAGTCATTACAACATGAGCTTAAATTTAAACGTACCTATTTACTAACTTAACACTATTGGATATAATGTCATAATAATTCCTTTTCTTTCAAAAGGGAAATGCATGAACATGTTTTTATTTCCTGTCAGGATTAGATGAGAAAATAGCTGCTGTTAAAATAGTGTTGTAAACTTGTTTTCAACTGTCGGTAAAAATGACAAGGATTGCTTAGCATCTTTAAAGAGTTTACAAATTTGGAGATAGTTGAGATGTGCCTGCCTTTTCTTTTTTCTAAGATATATTTTTAACCATAAATTACTAATTCTTTATGTAAAATTCAGTGTTCTTCAATCAGGCTTAATTCTTCTGCTCAGCTCAGTAGTTTCTCAAAGTATCTGTAGGAAAGAAAGTTTTTCTCTAGTCAAACAAAAATCTTATGTTATTTACAGAGATGTGTAACCATCACAACAGACCAATTTTAGCACTTTTATACTACCTCCAGGGGAAATTTCTGTGCATTTAAAATCTGTCAGAGCTACTACTCTAGTCTTGGAAAACGATTAAAGCATTTCTTTGTATATATTTGTGGTTTGGGGAAATATTGCTCCAATGGGATCTTCTTTTTTATTAGAAATTTTTTAATACAATCTTTTCTCATTTTGAATAGCTATCCCCATTCCCTCTGCCTCCCCTGCTCCTGCCTCCTCCACCTTCCCTCTACCCTACTTCCCCCATCCACTCCTCAGAATGGCTAAGGTTTCCCATGGGGAGTCGACAAAGTCTGACATTTCACTTCCAGGCAAGCCCAACGTCCTCCCTACTACATCTAGGTTGAGCAAGGTATCACTCCAAAAAGAATGGGCTCCTAGATATCAGTTTAAGCACTAGAGATACATCCTGGTCCCACTGCTATTGGCCTCACACACTGTACAATCCTCATAAATGCCCCCCACATTCAGCAGGTCTAAATTTTAGTTCTATACAGGTTTGCCCTCTATCAGTCCAGAGTCAATGAGCTCTCACTAGCTCAGGTCAGCAGTGTCTGTGGGTATCAACATCATGGTCTTAACTCCTTTTCTCGTATTATCACTCCTCCCTCTCTTGGACTTGTCTCAGGTATCTCGGCCCAGTACTTCCCTGTAGATCTCTCTATCTGCTTCCATCAGTTGATCATTGAAATTCTGTGATGACAATTAAGCTCATCATCAGTCTGATTACAGGGTAAGGCCAATTTAGGTATCTTCTCCACTGTTGTTTAGAGTCTTAGTTGGAATCATCCTTGAGAATTCCTAGGATTTTCCCTAGTGCTGTTTCTTGATAGCTCTTTAATGGCTCCCTCAATCAGGATATCACTTTCCTTTATCTGCTTCTCTGTCCTTCCCTTCTCTTGAACATCCCATTCCCTCATATTCTCCTCCTCCCTCCCCTCCATGTCCCCTTCCACTCTCCCTTCTCTCCCCCCTCATACTTTTCTGAGGAGGTCTTGTCTGATATGTGTTCTTTCCTGTGAAGCTTCTTTCATTGGGTATAATATTTGGCCATGATTATTTCATTTACTTGAGTTGACTTTTATTTAGAATTGTAACTATTACTTAGTCTGATGTAAAGTGGAGGGACCAGCCATGTACTTACTCAACCCAACAGCCATACTGATAATTCCATTGTTCTGATAGATTTTTATTTTGGCTGGGCTCAACTACATTTTACAGCAGTATTAAAAGAACAGAAAACAAATATACCTTTTAACATGATCCAAAGCTGGCAAGTTTCTAGCGATTTTCATATAGAAATGGTTTCTTTACTAAAATCAGCTCTGTGTCAACATACCCCGCCTCCCCCCAATGATTTCATTATGCTGCTCAGTATCTTTCCATGCAATCAATTGTTTGTAGAATTAAGCTGAAACATTTAAAAAAAATGAAATAAGGCACACAGGACCACAAAAGACACCAGAAGTGCTAGCAGAATGACTGTAATTGTTTTGAACACATTTCTCTGATGACCTAGTAAGAGCTTCCGAGGGGACCCAGTCTGTAGATGATGCTCGAATTACGGCCATCAGCTGTGACAAAGCAAGGAGGACAACACAGGGATTCAGAGATCTCCAAAAGGCTTGTGAACTTGTGTTCATCATTGAGTTGGTTTCCTACAGAATTCCATCCAATCCTGTCTCCTCTAGTGCCCTTGCAACTCCTTTCCCACGCACTCCAAGATAGAATGTCAACATTGTGCTTCCTGATGCTCCCTTCATCTGTTTTTAAGTAGTCGCTGCTTATTCTGTGGGAGGCATAACATGAGGGACTGCTTGTGGGGGTTTCTGTCCTGTCCAGTTCCCACAGTTGGTTAGCCCCAAAGAAATTCACACAGAGAGTCTACATTATACATAAACTTATTGGCCCACTAGCTCAGGCCTCAGAGTTGCTCTTATAACTTATATTAACCTATTATTCTTATCTATGATAGCCACATGGCTCAGTACCTTTTTTGGCAGGGTAGGTCACATCTTGCTTCTTCTGTGCTCTGGGCAGGACTGTGGAGGAATGGGCTTCCTCCTACCCAGCATTCTCCTGTTCTCATTGTCCCACCTTTACTTCCTTTCTGGTTGTCCCACCTATACTTCCTGCCTGGCCAATCAGCGTCTATTTAAAACATGATTGACAGGATACAGACAATTCCCCTGCACCAGGGAAGGGGGGTGTTGTTATGGGGAGAAGGATTTTTACACCCAGAAATACTAAAAGAAATTCCCTTACTTACTGTTTTCCTTATCTAAGACATACTTATACAGTGCATCTACTTTCCAATTGTGTACTTAAAGTACCTTAGCGTTGTGAGTGCATGTGTACAGACTCTTGCATTCTCTTCCTACTTACATCACCTCTCCTAGCATGCTGACATATTTTCTTAAAACCACTTAACAATCCTTAAAAAATCCCTTGCTCAATACTCCTCCTTCCTCCTTGAATCCCAAAAGATTCTCTCACCAAGATCATATATGTGTTTTTATACTAAATAGTGAAGTTTCAATATCTCAGAAAAAAATAAAAGCAGACTCTGGTCAATATAATATATTTTATATATTTATTCAACTGTGAATAGCATTAAAGCAAATGCATATATGCAAATATTTTCTTCCAATGCCATGTATTATGTTTTTAATACTGCTATAAAGAATGTTGGACTTGTGAAACTTGTGAATGCCAAACTTATTTCTCCATCATCACCTTTCTAGTCTCCACTTCATATACAACTTTTATCCTGAAAAGAAACTGAATATATACGTTCTGAAATAAGTGGCTTTGAAAAAAATTCTGATGTCATCTGACCATGGTGGTGCTCACCAATAATCCCTGTTGTCAGAAGGCTGACAATGGAGAGTTATGAGATCAAGGCAAGGTAGAGTTACACAATAAGAACTTGACTTTATAATAAATTAAAGGATATATACTATGTGCTGATATGATATTAAATCAGGTACCTACCTCTGCTGGCTAAGCTAAGGATAATTCTTAATTCTAAGTGTTATTCACATTGGTATATTTATTTTTAATATTACTTCAACATCCAGTTACCAGAGAGTGCCATGTTTTCTGCTGCTGAAAGTCCTTTCTCCAAAGCCCTGTCAAACTGTGCAAATTAGTTCTTGCCCTGTTCCTCATCAGGATGACACATCTCTTCATTGCTTGATTCTCAAGAGGGATGCATTTAGGGAAGTAGTTTAAGTGGGCAAATCTGTGCTGGGACACGTTTATTAATTCCTGCTCTGGAGAGTAAGAACAGTGGTGGCAGGAGTTGAAAGAGAAAGAGCTATAGCCTCATGGTGACAGAGAATCTAAGTGGCTTTATTTAACACCATGGTGAACCTGGCCAACAGTGACCTAACTGAAGTTCAGATGGCTGATAGTTTATTCTGCTCCATTTTATCAGCAATGGAGATGTGTGACAGCAGAAAAGCTGTGACCGTTGGTGACAGGGCTCTGAAATTCAGGTAGCTCCCCAGGAGACTAACAGCAGGAGTCTGTGTGATAACAGCTGAGTAACAAACTGTTCCTCCAAGGGGAATCTTTGCTGGTCCAGCTTTCTGTACATTATACGTTGTTTACCTAGCTAGGTAACACTGTCACTTTGGCCGTTGCCTTTTTTCACTATGAAAGATGGAATTCGGAATCTTTCACAGGCTAAAATTGTGCCCAAGCCATTATCTACACATCTACCCTTCCTTTCTTAGTCATGGTTGCATTCCAATTAACAAATATTTACATATTTGTTTCAGTTGATACTTTTATAAGCACTGTGAGCCTTGAAGAAAAGATTATTTTCTGATCCCAAGTTCATCTTTCTAGCCATCTTAATGATTTCCTGGCAACAATTTTTATGTAGGAAAGGGAGAAACAATAATTATACATACATATTACTCTTTCTTTTTCTCTCAGTGATATTTTGCTCTAGTAGAATCAATGCCAATGATGCTGAGCCTGATAAGCTGAATTAGACATACAATGATGCTAAAAGCATTTTGGATTGAATATTGTTTTGTCCTTAAACATTATACACATAGAGGACAGTCTGGTCAAGCATTTTGCAAATGAATTCCATTCATCATTGGAGGCTTGCCTGATCAGAGAAAATCCATCATCACCAATATGCCATTAATGACTTATTTCAACCCTGCTTCAATAAAGTACACAAAGCATACTTCTACAAATGGTTGTACCTGGGGGTCATGAATGTCATAATATTAGAATATGCTGTGAAAGATTATATATTGTATATGATTGTTTGACCTACTATTTATAGAGTAACTAGGTAAATAGTTAGTAGGTCAGAGATGAATGACAAAATTGTGGAGAATCCAGCGCTAAGAGATAGAGTCATCAGCAGATTGTGCCACACATATACACAGATTTCATACATTCAAACTATCACCATGTTTCAAATATCATCTCTAACTTTATAAGTGTTTTAAAATCAGATTTTATATTATATCCCATAATTTACATTCAACAGTTCATAAAAAGACAACTAATATGAGTTGTTAAAATATGTATTTACTACAAAGGCAAATATGTGTTAATCTCTTAATAGATAAAAAATACAACCCAAAATATATTTATATTTCACACTGATGCATAATGATTGTATATATATTGTCACATCACATCTTTGTGCACACATACCTTAGGTTTACACAAAGGAAAACTATGTAGGTAAGCATTAATCATATTTACTTACCTACTCTTGCAAGTATCTCATAATGGTTCCATTTTAGCTTTTAAAAGAAAGAGAATAGTCACTTAAATGATTCTGTAGATTAAAAAACCTGAAATGAAGTATCACTTCATTCTTAAAATTTATAAAAATGTTTAGAATGTGCATCTTTATCAGACTACTTAGGGGAATGAAAGTTTGAAATTCAATAAATTTCTAAATAATATTTGTACCTATTCAAACACTATAAAACAAGTGTGCTGAATGCAATTGATAAAAGGAAAAAGAAAGCGTTCATCTATAGCTGTTAGGCATGCATATTCCTCTTTTACATATTGTTAACTTGTCGATTTTTAAAAATTTCAACAGGTAAACATTTTCAGTCCGGTAAGTGTCTGTGAGTTATTATTGCTGTTGTGAAACACCATGGCTAAAGTTTTATGGGGCAGAAACAGTTTATTTGGCTTACACTTTCACATCACTGTTTATTATTGGAGGAAGTCAGTACAGAAACTCAAACATGAAAAGGAACTAGAGGCAGGAGCTGATGACAAGGGCATAGAAGCATGCAACTCAGTGGCTTGTTCCTCACTAGTTGAACATTCTGCTTTCTTCCAGAACCCAGGACCACAAGACCAGGGATAGTCCCACCTACAACAGCATGAGCCCACCCAAATAAATCACTATTTTTTTTTAAAAGAAAAATGTCTTAAAGGCTTGCCAGTAACCTGATCATAGGAAGGCAATTTCTGAATTGAGGTTCTCTGTTCTCAGATGACTTTAGCTTGTGCCAAGTTGATATAAAGCTAGTCAGTGCAGTTAGTTAGCATAATAGGCATTATTTTCTAAGTTACAAAATGGATCTAGGGTATTTTAGTTCACTGTATTTTGGAATGTTGTGAAAACAATCTTCTTTCTGGAGATAAATAATCTGGTGATTAAATGGGTAGGTAACTTGCTGAATTTCATATAGTAAGCTAATAAAAAGGAAAAAATAATATGCATTATAAAGCAAAATATTGTTCTTAAATTATAGAATGACTTAACTTTTAGTTTCCTTTTGCTCCCTCCAGCCCCTACTGTGTTTCCTCAACTCCAAAATTGTTACCCTCTTTTTATTCAATTATTGCATATGTGTATGTGTAAATATATATAATTACATCCTTCTGAAGGCATTTTTATTATAAGCAAACATTTTCTTACTAAAATTGCTTTTCTATTTGTAAACACTAGTGATTTATCTTACTATTGACTAAAAATAAGTCTAATATTTTATACCCTGTCTTTTTAAGTCTATTGAAAGTTACAAAAAGAGCAAGTCTCAAAACAGTATTTTAGTATGCTAGACTTTAAAGATGATATTGAACGTATTTCTCAGACAACAATCACACCGAATTGATTCCTAACCAATTTCAATTAGAGTCAATTCTGATTCAATGAAGTGTATTACTTATAATCTCTCTCTCTCTCTCTCTCTCTCTCTCTCTCTCTCTCTCTCTCACACACACACACACACACACACACACACATCCATAATATTCCCACCATTTATCCATGAAAATCAGAGGGATTCTTTTTTTCTCTGCCCCTTCAACCCTCTCCCATAGTCCCCATCCTCCAAATTTACTCAGGTGGTCTTGTTTGTTTCTATTTCCCATGTATATTAGATCCATGTACATCTCTCTTAGGGTTCTCATTGTTGTCTAGGTTCTCTGGAACTGTGATTTGTAGGCTTGTTTTCTTTGCTTTATGTTTAAAAACCACTTATGAGTGAGTACATATGCTAATTGTCTTTCTGGGTCTGGGTTACCTCACTCAATATGATGTTTCCTAGATCCATCCATTTGTCTGCAAATTTCAAGATGTCATTTTTTTCTCCCATGTAGTACTCCATTGTATAAATGTACCACATTTCCTTATCCATTCTTCAGTTGAGGGGTATTTAGGTTGTTGCTAGGTTATAGCTATGACAAACAATTCTGCTATTAACATAGTTGAGCACATGTCCTTGTAGTATAGTTGAGCATCCTTTGGGTAATTATTATTACCAAAAGTGGTATTAATCCAATAAAAAAATGGAGTACAGACCTAAACAGAGAACTCTCAACAGAGGAATCTAAAGTGGCTGAAAGACACTTATGGAAATGCTCAGCATCCTTAGTCATCAGAGAAATGCAAATCAAAACAACACTGAGTTTCCATATTAGACCTATAAGAATGGCCAATATCACAAACACTCACGACAACTTATGCTGGAGAGGTTTGGGGTAAAGGGAAAACTCCTGCATTGCTGGTGGGAGTGCAAACTGGTACAGCCCCTTTGGATGTCAGTGTGGCGATTTCTCAAAAAATTAGGAAACAACCTTCCTCAAGAACCAGAGGCATTACTATTTTAAAAATGTGAGGAGTACTTGTTTGGGGATATGTGCTTTTTATTGAAAATTTCTTTAACAAACAGGTCAAAAATGTGATGAAAACTATCATGGCTGGATTGCAGCAAACCAACACTGAAAAGATTCTTCTGAGCTGGGTCCGACAATCAACGCGCAATTATCCACAGGTTAACGTCATCAACTTCACCACCAGCTGGTCTGATGGCCTAGCTTTGAATGCTCTCATCCACAGTCACAGGTAAATTTGAAATTTAAATTGTTTTTTAAGTATTGATTATTGCAATATGGCCTGTCTACTAGGCAAAATGGTGTTAACAATATCGATCTAAGTATTTATTGAAACAGACTAAGCATATTGTCATATATTTACCTCCTTATTTGAGATAGGGCATATCTAGGTAAGGGCTGACCTATCTAAAACTTGATATTCCTTTCTCAGTTCTCAGAGTAATGGGATTACATGCTTTAAACACCATGGCTACGAGTTTTCTAATTTTTAAGTTACATATGGCTGTAGTTGAAGGAGGAACAAAAATGAACACATTTTATACTTAGACTCCGAAACAACCAGATTATTTCATGAATTTGCTAATAAGGGGGCTGATAGGTTTCAATAGAAGCAGAAATAAGTATGAGCCTAGACTACAGAACTAAAAGTGGTTTCAAATTTTATGCAAGATCACCATTCTCAGATAAATAATGTACAGGTAAACATTTGTCATATGAAACATAAGCTTCCATAGCAAACATCATGATATCATGGACGTTTTCTTTCTGATGAGGATTAAAAGAAACACTAAGCATTTTAGTGACCATAGCAAAAAAGGGGGGTGGGCATCTAGTGAGTTCTATAACTCAGTGTTCAGAACATCAAAAGAAAGGATTTTTTCTACATAGAGCAGCAAAGCAATTTCTTTGAATTAAGTAACAGTTCTGTGGCCATTCATATTTATAAATAACAGTCTAACATAGTAAACTAAGCAGCTTTACTATAGTCCAGACAGTGTTCTAGTTTTCACAATGACAAAACAATTCTTTAATTTTCTTAGATAATAAAGTTTAATAAATTAATTTGTAATATTTCAAATAAAGTTATAATCATGTGGGAAAGGTGCATATATACATCCATAATTATATATAAAATATATTATTTTAAAATACAATACTTTCATATGTACAAGTTATACAGCATACAGCACCATTCTACATATGATTATATCATGTAATATTTCCTCCAAGAAATATCTACCTTGGTCTTGTTATTAACTGTTCTTTTAAATGACTGCCAAATTAATTGTTTATTTTTTTAATAAATTCCACTGGACTTCAACTTCCCAGAATACCCATACAGGTTATCTTTTTTTTGTTTTTGTTTTTGTTTTTCAAGACAGGGTTTGTCTGTGGTTTTGGAGCCTGTCCTGGAACTAGCTCTTGTAGACCAGGCTGGTCTCGAACTCACAGAGATCCGCCTGCCTCTGCCTCCCGAGTGCTGGGATTAAAGGTGTGCGCCACCACCGCCCGGCTACAGGTTATCTTTTGTCACTTGTGTTTACCTATTTTTGTTCCCTTTTCTTTTTCACCAAGTCTCCCATTTTTCTATACCACTCTTGTTTCCAAAGAAGGCTAGAGTATAAATTTTCCTTGTGGTAAGGCTGAACTCAAGGGTAAACTCAAAGTAAGCATCTTTGTCAGGTGTCATGCTGCAGCTGGGCTTAATTAGTCCCATCCAGACTGGGTTTTCAGGTGAGTGATTCAGCAAAACTGACTGTAAAAAGGAGTTTGACTGGTTCTGATCCACACATTTAACAAGGTATCCAGGCTGATTTTCATAGGTACACCAAAAGAAAACTTTCCACAGCTTCAGTACAGTCAGGTAAGAATAGATAGAGATATTGATTCTGCATAATAAGTTCATGCTCATTAATGCAGCCACATGCTTCACGGTAAGGGCCTGAAGAAATATTGATCTTGCTCTTCATGTACATATTAGCAGATAAACAAAAATATTGAGGATTGGCTTATGTGATCCTTGGTGGCTCTTTCCTATTTTCATTTCAAGTGGGCGACTTCACTCCTGGAAGCATGTTCACACACCATATTTGTTCATTTTCTTTTTATAATTTTTGAACATGTTTCTAAGTAATACAGGAAACATCCAGCTTGTCCTATCCCTGACCCACTTGCTCTCTGCCACAGTGTATCTGTATTTATGCATTTTGAATGAGCCATCAATAACTATCTTTTTATACATTGCATGTTTAGTTCTCAAGAGGTTCCTTGCAGTTGCTTCATGCTTTTTCATGAATCACCTGCCTCTTTGTCTTTGACAGATGTTAATATTGTTTATCTAGAGAAAAAAAAAACATGGTTGGACTTTCTGTTCCAAGGTGATTGTCATTGGCACTCTTAGGAATGTCATTCAGTGCCCTGATTTCAATAATTGAGTGAGTAAGCTATATAGAGCAAAGACAGCAAAGCACAGAGACCTTGGGAATGAAAAGGTTTATGTTCAAACACAATGTCCCCTACAGTGAATTTGAAAGGAAGCCAGGTTCTACTTTTACACACAAAAAAATGATAATTGATAAGAAATATATACAAAATATAAACCTTAAATTATAATAACCTTAAAAATGCATTTAAATTTTCATGCTAACTCCTTTTTTCCTGTCCCAGGATGTGGTTTAAGAAAAAAGTTATCCATTATGTTACTGAGATCTCCCTTTGGTCTAGTTCTGCTCCTTGTTACATGTGATCTTTGTTGAAAGGATTCAGGTGAGAAGAAAGTCAGAATTTATTATGAAATAAAATAAGATACACCCGATGATAAAAATGGGTAGTTCTCAAAGAGGAAAAAAACTATCATGGGATGAGAGTCAACAGTAGTCAGCGAGACAATTTTATAGTGCAAGCATTGGAGGGGTGAGAACTGACATTGGACAAAAGGACAATTGTACCAACCTATATTTTTTAAGTAAGTGTCATACTATTTCTCAAAGTTACTCGAACAAACAGCTTTCCTGAAGTACATTTTCCTGCCTCAGTGATTGAGAAACTGATTTGAATTGACGGTTCCTAAAAAAGAAAGTGATTTATCTTTATTGTATACAAGAAAGTCAAAACAAGATAGTGTGATTTTAATTTTCTCAATGGTATAGAAAAATCATGTCTCCACCAAGGGTAAAAAAGAGATTCAGATTCAGATCCAATTCATTTACCAACGACCTGAAATTGAGGTTTCTTATTTCATAAGCTGCTGATTATAAGGAAGAGTTCCATCCTCAATATCTTTCAACCCTGTTAATATCTGTCTAGCTACCAAGAGTCATCCCCAGAATTGAAATCCTCAAAACATTTAGAAGGTAACTATTTAAAGACTTATATGTCAACTTTCCTAAGGGGCTTTGGGAGGATTTCCTAAGAAGAATTTCCTTTGTACAGTTTACTTAGGAGTAATGAATCTAGACAGGTGTTAATGGTGCACACCTTTAATCCCAGCACTTGGAGGCAGAGACAAGCACAGCTCTGTGAGTTCAAGGCCAGCCTGGTGGCCAGCCTAAGAGCTAGTTCCAGGACAGGCTCCAAAGTTACAGAAAAAAACATTGTCATGAAACAAACAAACAAACATGATGAGTCCAGTTGGGAATTTTTAAAAGCTTGGTGGCTGGAGGAGAAGCTAAAGTATAGGGAAAGAACCTTCTAACTCCTTTCTAGGATTTAATAATTTTTGACCCTAAGTACCCTCTCTATAAGTTCTGATCAGAACCTGTTAATATCCTGGTGAAAGCATTTTTATCTTATTTCTGAATGGATTTGAAATTTCTATAATGCATATTGTTCATAGATCATTGGAATTCATTGAATCTGCAGTCAGATTAGAGATTATATGCTATAATATACAAAAAGATCTGAATATAAAAAAGGTTACCAATAATGTACTTCAGAAAGGCTTAGGCTTATGGCTAAATAAGGACCCAAGTACACTTCAGGGAATTCTTCATAGCATTTCCCTGTAGGGTAAGATGGTTCTTCTGTCAATATATTTTTTAAAGATTATTTTCTTGTTGATTTTACTTATTTATATAAGTATGTATCTGCTTGAGTGTATTTCATGTATGTGTAGGCACCTTCAGAGGCCAGAAAGAGGGCTCTAGATCACTGAAAGATGCAGTTACAAGCAGTTGTGAGTCACGCAACATGGGTGCTGGGAATGACTTCATGTCCTCTAGGAAAGAACCAAGCACTCTTATTGAGCAATCTATTCAGTCTGATCCCGTTAATGCTATTTAGTGGATAATTTGGGGGGTCTCATTGGTAAATTCTGCTTTTCCAGAGGACTAAACTCTCCAAAAAGAATATTTAATATTTAATACTCAGAGATATATTTTCAGGCTGAATGATAATGAAGATAAGAAAATGTCACTATGTCCTTAAAGAGATCTCAAGTTTGAAGAAAAAATTTAGTTTCAAGCATAGTAAAAATCCTGAATAGCAAACTTTTAAAGGTACATAATGTAAGGCATTCCAGGCTAGGAAAGATATTTTTAATGGTAACAGCATAAACTATTTTCTTAAAAATAAATTTTAATTGTTTGAGATTAATAGGACTATGTCAGTTCCACTGTTCATTTCCTAACCTAAACCTTCCCCTTTCTCTTTCAAATTCATGACCTGGACAAGGAGAATACCAGTAGAAATGCTAACTTGAAGGGGGAGAAACTCTTTGAGGTTTCAACCATAAACAAAGAACTATATGCATGTATGGCATGCTAAGAGTAGGATTAGCAATGTTCCCTAGGGAAGGACACAACAATTGACTATCTGATACCAAATGGTCAGCCCTGAAAACATATACATACAACTAACATGATAAGGACCAATAGCATTGTGTTTTTGTATTTAGAAGTTTATATGCTTCGTTGTTCTTGGGTGTGTATGTTTACACTCATATACATATATATGTAAGAACAACTAAAGAAACTGGTTTCAAAAAATAATTTATTTATCTATTCCTTACAATTTCTTATATGTTTACATAGTAGTTTGATATAGAAAATGATAAAGTCTATAGGTCTTGATCAGATTTGTTCTGTTTGCTAGATAAAGAAATAAAAGGCAAGAAATTTTTCAATGCAGCAGGTAGCAGTAAAATATTATAACACAGCAAATAGAATCAGCATCTTACATGCTCCCTCTGTATGATAAAGTGAGGTGGGGAACACACTAGCTCATTCTGTC